GCCTGCAACCCTGCTATTATACGACGAGGCACACAAACACACCATCAGCTGCTCTGAGGCCTGAATAATGATTGCAGACAGACACTGCTCTGTCATTTAGAAAGAGAAAGAAAGAAAGAAAAAAGGTACCGTTGATATGTTATTATTGCTTCACTACCGTCAGCGTGCGTGCCTTTTCTCCTCAAGACATTTTACACACATTGACACACCTTCACAGTTGTCCTTTTCTGCCAATTTCATAGACCGGACCTTGCTGCGTATTGCGCGTCGTACCTTTAAGACGAGAGCGTTCGCATACAAATACCGACACTGAGTCCAGCAGACATGGATCTGCTGCTGCATCTCTCCGCTCTCAGGTGCTGTGCAGCAGGAAGGATGTATCAGCAGGGGCCAGATGATGGCACTCTTCTCTCTGCACCAGCCTGTCCCCCCCACCCCCGCCGCCGTGCGTGCATGATGCAGCTGGCCTCATTTTAATGATTTAAATCACTTGAGGTCCACCGCCACACGTTTCAGAGGCCTGACTGAATTTATCCTCGTTGATAGAGATCAGCGCCCTCAGCCCCGGACGTTGCCAGACTACAGTGTAGGGAGAGACCTATTTGACTGACATGATTGGATACAGCTCTCCGCTATGATTTTACTTTTGATCCCGCTGCTCCGGCTCTGGCCCTGGGGACTGATGAGTGGAATGGAGTGGTACCGACAGAGCAAAGATGATGCCTCACACTGCTTTTTTAAATATTTTATCTCGTTGGTCATCCTTTATACAGATGCAGGTCGAGACTCAGAGCTGTGGTGAAATGTAGACTCATGTTCTGTCATGTAAATACGAGGGAATTTTATGCCGTAAATCCCACACATGCACATGTGGAAAACGGCCACACATCTCCAGCGTTATTACGATTTGAAGCCCAAACTAATAACTCAGAATACAGGATGTGATCACAAATAAAACAGAGGTTGCTTTGAAGCCTCGTGTTTGGATTATTTCTGCATTTAATGTGGGCAGAGGCAAACTTGCAGGGTCATAGGTGCTCCTCTTCAGCAGCGAGGCGGAGGAGGGCGAGGAGGATACAAGTGTTACCTCTATAGGTTCAGGCTCCTGCCGGATCAAACATCCCCAATCGTGCAGGGCGTCATCGGAATACCACGTTTACTACACGCACCCCACTCCTCGCTGAAAACTCCCCCACATCCCAGCGTATGTGTGACCAACCCAATGGATTTTCTCAGAGGGCCTCTCCACGTGATTGGGCATGCTCAGTAAATTCCCTGCTGTTGACCTGCAGCCTGACGGACTATTGATTTGCAGGATGACAGTGTGTGTATGTGGTGTGTATTTTGCACAGCCCCGTGGGTGGGGTGGGTGGGTACGAAGAGGTTAGCGGCACGGAGAAAGAGGGCAAGGTCATCTGAAGGACGTGGGCGAGCGCAGGCGAGTCAGAGCGGAGAGCCGCAGCTCGCCTGACGGATGGCCGCGCCACCCAGAGAGAGAGAGAGGGGGGGGGATGGAGTGAGAGCAGAAAATAACTCGGCTCATATAAAAAAAAAAAAAAAAATCCAACACATAAATAACACGGACAGGAAGTAACCGTGCAGTTGTTGAGTTCATTATGACGAGCGAACAGAAATTTGTGTCATCTCAGATCGTTTGGGTCCAACAGATGAGGAAGCACTTTCTGATAAGGCCACAGAGAGGATGTATAAGAAGCTTGTGATGAGACGCATAGCAGCATTACATGGTATCACTGCCATCCAAATCCCCTCACTATTGATTAGATTGGAATATTTTGTATCCTAACATTTTTTTTTTTTCATAAACTGAATCTACTCAGTAGTCGACATTTCAGGTCAATTCGGCGTTCAACCTCGAGTTTTTACCTACGCAAGATATTTTGTCAAAACATTTTTGAAGCTTCTGAATGCCGACATGTTTTCTGACAATCATACAGGAATCAGAAGTTCACCCTGATGATGGCGTTCCAAGTTGCACGTCTCCTTTAAAAACAAAACTGTCCCGTATCTTTGTCTGGATGGTATCATAGCATGTGCTAATTACATGTTTTGACAGCGAACAGACCTTTTTACCACAGGTATTTATAATGATCTCTGTATTGGCTTTATGCGTTTGTTTTGATTTTGACTCATTTTTATAGATCATGAAAAAAAAATGCATGAATAAAGATGACAGTATGGTTCTACAGGTTACAAGACTTTCTAGAGTCCTTTAATCTCCCGTGGCAATTAGGGGGCGCCTAAACGCTTGCTCCCCACATGACTATGATTTAATAGACCATCCAGTGGGCAAAGAGAAGAGTGGTGCAGTTAGAGTAAAAAAAAAAACCCAACAAGGGTTAAATCTAGTGATTTCTCTCTTGTTAATGGAATAATTTAAGATTATTTAATGGAATAATTTAAGATTATTTAATGGAATAATTTAAGACTTGTTAGACTTCAGACTTCTGCCCAGGTCCCCCTTGAAAATGAGATCTGGATCTCAATGGGGTTTATCTGGTTAAATAAAGGAATAAAAAAAAATTTAAAAAAAGACTTGTTAAAACATTTTTTTTTTTTTTTTGCTCTTCTCACCGGTTTATCACCTCATAGTTAGGTCTCAAAGTACTTAGAAATTGTATCTGTCTGAAATAAATCATTGCACAAAAATAAATCACTGTATTCACTGTTTTGACAGTGCATTAGGTTTATTGTTTTTCTTAGCAAATAGCAATTTTTGCTGCAATCTGGGGAGACATTTTGTCCTGTAGAGAAGCTACAAATCCCTGACGCGGCTTTTTTTTGAGCCGTGTCAGGCTGTGCTCTCGACATCACTTTTAGATGCCAAAAGCTCAGACAGAATTAATTAAATGTTCATTTTAAAATAGCAAAGTGTTCTTGTCAATTTCTTTTTTTCTTTTTTTTTGTATCTTTAATGAAAAATATTGTTACTGTGTAATATAGCCTAAATGTCAAACAGCTAAGTAGAGATTCAAGGTTGTAGAGAAGTAACTTTAAAAAAAGTTGCAATCTCTGAAGCCTTTTGTGTTTTTGGGAAATTCTACCAACTTTATTCATTAATATTCTGGAGGAGCATTTTCATACTTTTTACGTAAACTTAACCTCAAAATACTTTTGCCAAAATATATGAATAAATCAGCCTGGTGATCCAACAGGCTTTTCCAATGTTCCTCAGCTATGCAAGTTTTTATTATTATTATTATTTTGCCTCCCTTCTATATTGTTTCCAGCCTTGTTTTTCACATTATCATCTGTCATGGGAAATTTGACCTACGTTGTGTAATTAAGCGATCGATAGCTCTGCAATAGTGAAGGATGTGTCGGGGCCAGAAGGCCAGCCACCATGACCGATTGAGACCTGCCGCCTTCGATGTGTGGATGGAAGTCGTGTCCTCTGTGGGCTCAGAGGCAGAAAAATGAGTTGAAACCCAACAGAAAGTCCTGAAAGTGGAGGAAACGCTTGGGAACAACAAGGTCCGTCTGCTGAAAGTTATGAAACTCTGGCAATTATAACACTCCGTGTGAGATATATTTTCAATTTAACCACTTCAATGACTTACTGCTTTTTCATTAAAAAGGTTATTAATCGGAAACTCTGTTCACTCAATCTTTTTTTTTTTTTTTTACTTCTTTCAGAGGATATACAAGTGAAAGCTCGGTGCCTTCATGGTCAGGGTTATATGAGCAACAAAACATAAAAAAAAGACTAATTTTTAAAACTGACCACAAAATGGCTCTGATTTTAATTTTTTCACGCTAAATATTTACAAACTTTTAATTCCTCAGATTAATCAAGTTGTTTGTAACTTATTTGCTCCTTTGAAGAGAGAGAGAGAAAAAATATTTGCATTTTCTGGGGTTCAGCTGCATTAAATACAAACATACTTTGAAAAGCCGGCTGACCATGTGGTTCCTAAAATGCCAGCAGTCATTTTTTTATCGCATATCACAGCAATTAAAACTGCCAAGGAGTTAAAACAATACAAATCAAACCTTTAGTTGAGGTTTCTATCGTAACTCGTATAATTATGGTAATTAGACTATTGTGAGAAATCCATTAAGTCCACATGAAGTAAATATCTGAAGTGACCTCAACGCTTCCTGGCTCGAATGTGTAGAGACAACCTTGTTCTTGACATTAAAAGCAAATTGGTAACTTCAAACCGCCTCAGACGTAATGACATTTATTAAAATATACAACTGAAAGTCTCTCTTTTTTTTTTTCTGACGACTTGAAGAATTAGGAAACTAACAGTAGGGAAGGTTATTATAAATATCACAATTTGCATCTCCATATCAATGTGTCTTAAACCATTTTGAAATAAAAGTGAATTTGATAAGAAAAAAAAAATCATAAAAGTAATACAGACAGGCGTCATAATCAAATTTTAGTACACCTGGAAACTAATGAGTGCTTCACTTGTTTCACATTTTTATGTTACACCCTTTTTCCAAATTGTATAATATTACAAATACCCCCATCATGACAATGTGGGAAAAAAGTTTTTAAGGGTCTTACAAATGTATTAAAAATAGAGAACCAAGAAATCGCATGGATATAATTAATCACAGCCTTTGTCACGACGTTTAAAATTAAATATGAAAAATAATACTCGTCTCAAGACAGAACATGCTTTTATCTTCTTTACATGACATCTCAATCTTAGTCAGATTGATTGGAGAACATTCTGAACGTTCATTTTCATGTCACAGATTCTCAGTTTGGTTTAGGCCTGAACTTTGACTGGGACACTTTAATATGCAACTATGTGATGATGTAAATCATTCAACTTTACTTCTGGATGCACGTTTCCTCCGTCTCAGTCTAAATTCCTCTGCAGGCTCTGAGATGCTGTGTAGATCAGACTGTAAGTAGTCCGGCGTAAGAACAGCGATTCACAGCTGAATGAAATTCAATCAGCTTCCAATACAATAAGAAATAAACTACATACCAGAGAAACATTTGAGGATAAACTATTCACCTTTATCTGCTCAGAATCTTGTTCTTTCAGTCACAATTCAAATGCCAAGAACTTGTATGAGAGCTGGAACACTTAGAGAGGTTTGCTTTTTGGTTCTACTCGTTCTTCTCCACATCGGACCGGATCATCGCCCTTGTTACTGCAGACGAGGCCCCACTCTGTCTGTTCATATCCCTTTCTGTCCTACCACCACCTGTTACCGAGACACCAAGACTCCTCCAACCTAGAGGGAGCCGACTCTCATTCAGGTCGCTTCACTCTTGGCTGCGAATTGCTCCAGTCCATGCAGAGGGTCATCACCTACAGACACGAACAGAATCATGTCATCTGTAAAGAACAAAAATGAGACCCGAATGTTTTTAAGCAACAGACGCTGCTCTCTGTCCCTAATTTACACCTTCCTTTAAACGGTTTTCCTTTAATATTTTAGGGTGTTTACTGCATTGGTCAGCTGTACCGTTTATGTGCCTTATAAATAATGTTGCTTTGATTTTGATTTGATGTAAACCATGTTATGCTATTTAAATAAAGTGTGCTGACTTCATCAAAAACCTTGATCAGAGTGTCCTTAATAAATCATGCACACTGATGGAAAATTAAAAAAATTGAAAGTTAATGCATCTAATTGAGTACTTTAACCTCAGCTTTACCTGTTACATTTTATATTCTCATTTTGTTTTATTGGGATGTCAACCCAACCTTAATCCAAACACCTTTCACTCTCCTGCTTCACCTCAAATCCACGTGAAGCTTTAATGCTAGATGAGGTTAAAGATTTATGCCACATCTCTAGAAACCAAGCTCTCAGATAAAATATCAGAGGTCAACAGTAAAGTGTCAAGGCGAGGCGCCGCCTGTCACACTAGGCCAGTAGATGGTGACCCAGAGGGTTAGATACCATCACCGGCCGGGTTCTTAGCTGCATGACACCAGAGGTCTTTGCATGCTGATGTGCAAAATGATTCCACAAGAGACACGAACTCCAGCTGCTGTGAGACAGGAAAACACGGCCAATGTGCAAAGATTAACTTCTAATCTTCACATGCTGTCCAACTGACTTTCCGAAGTCCGAAGTTTGGCGGTGATGTATGGCTGACCAGACGGGATGTTCCAGCCATCGTTTTCTAATTCTTTACCGTGGATTCTTCACATTCACTGCTTATAATATCGATCCTCCTTCATCATACATCTTCCGCGTAAATTGTCCGCACCGTCTTTTAAATTGATCGAGCCGCATGATAAAATAAATGTAAGCAGAGCAACAGTGAGGTCATTGATCTGTGTAGTGATAGATGAAAGGCATTTATCAGCTTGGAGTACCCGTGATAATTAATTGATATCGATTAAAACCGAGCTGTAAAGCGAAATGACAGTCCAACGCTCACCGTGCTCCTGCCTTTGCCACCTCCTCCAATTTTTAATTCTTCCCTTTCGGGTTTTCACAAAAAAATCCATAAATGCCGATATCTTGTATAATTGAGGGCGATAATTACAACGCGCTCCCTGTGTATTATTCATATTTAAATGGACAAGTTTGTGCTGAAAATATTTCATGACCCCTCAGCACATCTGATTGCACGTCGAGAGTCGGAACTGGCAGCTGCTGATTTAAATTGCACATGTGAAGAGGCAGGATGAGGACTTGTCTTCTCGCTCCATCGAGAAATTTGCGCAATTTAAATATCAAATCCTTAAGTTCAATTTTTGATGTTCCCACCGTTGCTGTTAAGAGGGGCATCCACTTGCACTTTATGTTAAAATGGTGATTTCACTGTGGATGATGCTCTCCCCTATTGTCTGCCGTGGCACAGCTCTAACAAGTCCCTCTACTGATGGCAAGGCAGAATTTGCAAAAGCAGTTGTAAGTGTCATTTAAGTTGAGGGAATAATGTAACTCCTGAAGTAATAAGGGCTTCCTTTTAGTGCAGGACATGGGGTGAGCTGAATATTATATCACCACTAAGCTATTTTGTATGCTGCGAGGCAATTTGCTTCATTTGCCAAACATTTGGTCACGCAGCGGTTACTGCTAGTTTTGGTTAAACTAGGAGGAACACATTTCACTTTAACAAAGTTGAACTATTCTCTTTTTTTCCCCCCATGTCTCCCACTCCCACAGATGTGTAATTGTCTCAACTCTCCAGGGCTAACTCTAACTTTAAAATGCAGGCCTGATCTTTGTTAATCTCATGGAAATGGTCACACCTCTTAGTTATATTTATTTCTCTAGCAAATATCAAGAACCTTAAACCTTGCTCTTGCTGACCCTTGTTGCGCAGCAATCACACTCTGCAAAGCCCCCTGTAATTACCAGCACCGTTTACTATTCATCAGCAGATGGAATGGAAATGCCTGTGAGCATAATGGATTTCTATGTCGTGCTCTAAGCAATGGCCATAAAAGTGTGGGGAGTGGGAAGTAAAATTTCATGGCGAGAAGGAGGAGAATACATGCTAAAACAACAACAACAAAAAATGTAGTAATGATTAAGAAAAAAATAACATATCAGGTATGCCGTTTTATATCTTTTCATGTACCGCAGGCCATGTGAGGAGAGGTAGTCTGAGCTGTGGGACTAAACACATTTATTTCTAGCACTGATGTATTGTCCCAAACTCAACTTGCTCCTAGTTTTTAAAAACTTCTACTTTCAAGATGAAATAAAAACCTTTATTTGTTTTTTGCTTTAGTGTGCACTCAGTTCTTGTTTTGACTATTTCAGTGGGTGACGCTGTATCACCTCCACCATAAGCTGGCTGTTTACTTTGGGATGCTGCACAATGCGTTTTGTATTAATCCATAATTTATAATTCAGTGATTATTCACATGCCTGTCTGTTTCAGCTTGATCTCATTTATTTCCTCTCTTTTTTATTATTTCTGTTTAAGTTTAGCTTTTATTAATTAGTAGTTGGACTGGAAGAAGGGAAAGACGTGCAGTAAATGGTGGGGGAATCAAACCTAATATTTAGTCTTGATTTATTATTGTTATTTTCCTACCTATTGAATTACATTTAGATACATTGTAGGGATATTTATACAAGTACAGAATATCCTGAATTTGACAGTAGCTTTGATAGTTTAAAACTCCAACTTCAAAAGCTTCATTTTGCTTTATGTGTCATCACATTTACACCGCATGGTTATTTAGACAGAAAGATATTTACTCTGGAAATAGAAGAAGGAGGCGGCGTGTTAACGCTGATCTTCCTGCGTAGAAAAATGTTGTGAAAACAGAATAATTAAGTATAAATATAAAATTACATTTTCTTTTGTCTGTAAGCTGCAATATAGTTTTTGACATAGTTTCATTTTTTGTTTCAGACGGTACTCAATCTGAACTTTTTTAATGTGATTTCAGACTGTATGATAGTACGAGTTTATCTTGCAATCAGTGTATTTTATCATCTACCAAAACCCCCAAATTCTCCTGTTTCTTTTTTAGTTTAAAGGTGAGGACTGTACGCTTTTTCTGGGTGGATTGCAACTTTGTACCTTCAAACCTTCACCCAATCAGAATGAGACTTAAAGTTAAATGTAAACATCCAACCAATATTTATTCTGGGAGCACACTATGCAATATTTGTCTGATTTCACAACAAATTTCCTGCCAGGAAAAGTCAGTGGCAGTTTTTACTAAGTTAGGGACATTTGGGGAAGCTGTTAGTGAGGCGGGGTGAAGAATCAATTCAACCAATGTTTAGAAATAGAGTTTTAATTATGTTTAGCTGAACAGCAAAACATTCTGTTATGTTTCACATGAATCAGTCCTGGTTTGACTGGTTTGGCTTCTGGCTACGATGTTTTTTTTGTTTTTTTTTTGAGAATGTGTCGTTTTTCGATGAACAAGTCAACTTTAGTCTTGGCTGCTTTCTGACCAGCCATTAACTTCAACATCTGGAGCCAAGTAGCTGAAGTTTATAGCTTTTTATAACTTCTATTAGTGAAGGAACAAACAGGACAGCACACAGTAATCGAGATAGAGGAATTATTTGTCAAGCTAACTACCTGTTTGGGAGCTAAAGCTTAAATAGGCAGAAATATTCCAATAACTCTGCTCATACATACCCCCACATACTTCACGGTTATTCAAAGTGACTCAGATATAACAATACATAATTCAAAAAGATTTATCTTTAGGTTATCAAGAGAAATGTCCATGCATAGATGTTTTTACCATCTTTTTAAATCTGATACATTACATGTCTATTAAAAAAGACTCACTTTTTAACTATAACTGTCAAGATGCCATTACAGATTGCCATTTGGAAATATAAGGCATAATGCGTGGTGCATGGGTACAGATGCTAACGAAAGAAACATTGACGTGGGGGCAAAACGCAGAGAAGATGAAACTAAACTGTGATGACGGGATAGAGACAGTAGAGCAGAGCGACGGCATATCTTCACACAGATTTCTTGTGCTAAAATTTTGTCCTCTTTTCTTCCCCACATTCGGAATATCTTCCCTGCATCTATTATTCTACGCACCAAACCAACTTCCCCTTTTATTTCCTAACCGCGCGGCTTCTTATCACGCTGGAAGTCTACGCCGCGCCGACGTGGCGCTCTTCTTTGATTCACCGGCAGCAACAACAGCAGCCGATAAACACCTCCGTTTGCTTCTTCGCTCCTTTTCATCCTTCACCCGTTTTCCAGCTTTGATTCGAGCTCCTGCGGTGACCAAATGCATACGAACGCAACAGCACAGCGTGGAAGGGCTGCGCTGCTAAATATACACCGCTTCACTCATCTCGTGTTATATTTTTAATGGCTTCCATGCACTTGTGCCTCAGAGTCTCCCTAGGCCAGGTTCTTTCTCTTGCACCTTCTTGCCTCTGCGGCTCTTATCCCTGTCGCCTCGGGGCATTCACAGGCCTGCCGAAAGAAATCAACCCCGCATCACTGGAGACAAGCAGACACGGCCCCTCGCCCCCACCATCAGCTCTGAAATAAACTGCACACCTTCCTTCTGCATTGTTCGCCCGTGAGTCTTGCTTTTTAGGTGAGCTTCTCTTTAGCTCTCGCGGTAACTTCATGGGTTATTCAAAATCAGCGTAGCTCAGACTCTGAGTGCAGAAATGACTGAAATTTTGCTAAAACTGCCACGTTCACCCTGGAGGAAAAGCAGAGCGCATCACAGGCACAAACAGAAATGGATTTGGTGCAGCGCGTTTTGTCTGCGGCGACCCATGCAGGGCTCCATTACGTAAAGCTCTATAGAGCTGTTCCAAAATGGCTGCCTCTGTGTTTCTTCCTGGTGGCAGAGAGCTGGTACATACACTGGGGAAATAGGGATTG